GAGCCGGTTCTCTGGGTTCTTTGTGTAGCTTTTGTCACCAAAAAACCTGCCTTCTCCTTGACATAGGAAGCAAATGCTTTTTTCTTTTTTTTTTGAGACAGAGTCTCACTTTGTTGCCCTCAATAGAGTGCGATGGCATCATATCTCACAGCAACCTCAAACTCTTGGGCTCAAAGCAATTCTCTTGCCTCAGCCTCCTCGATAGCTGGAACTACAGGCACCCGCCACAGCGCCCAGCTATTTTTTAGAGATGAGGTCTCACTCTTGCTCAGGCTTGCCTTGAACTCCTGAGCTCAAGCAATCCACTCACCTGGGCCTCCCAGAGTGCTAGGATTACAGGTGGGTAAACACATTTTTAAAATCCTGAACTTTATAAACATTCTCAACTTCTCTGTGCTGAAATGACAATGTATGTTACTGATTAACTGCTGAAATTTTCTAAATCTACCTTTGTACCTTGTTGATTCCTTTTCTTTTCTTTTCTTTCTTTCTTTTTTTTTTTTTGTAGTTTTTGGCTAGGGCTGGGTTTGAACCCACCACCTCTGGTATATGGGGCTGGTGCCCTACTCCTTGAGCCACAGGCACCGCCCATGATTCCTTTTCTGAAAAGCTACCAGTGCTGATTGGTTGCTGAGAACAGGGAGACCAATCCCATTCTGCTATCTTAGCTTAAGAAAGAGTCTCAGGCATTTTCTATTCATTCTTTACTTGCCTTTTCTTCCTTTTCCATTTAGCTACCTCCTTTAGGTCATAGAGGTGGTGGTTTCTAGGCTACATCCAAGTATATAATTAATAACAGACATTTCTCCATGTTGATCTTTGGGTATTCTGACCATGTGAGGATAAAGTGTTAAGATGACATTCGAGTATTACTAATTTTGTTTTGTTTTTGTTGTTGTTTTTCAAGAAAGAGTTTTACTGTATTGCTCAAGGCTTGTGCCTTGGAGTCATCCTAGCTCACAGCAACCTGAGACTCCTGGGTTCAAGTGATCCTCCTACCTTGGCCTCCTGAGTAGCTGGGACTTCTGGTGCCTGCCACAACACCAAGCTCATGTTTCTTTTTTATTTGTTTATTTATTTTTTATTTTTTGTTTTCAGTTGAGACAGTCTTACCTTGTCACCCTAGATAGAGTGCTAGGGCATTATAGTTCACAGCAACCTCAAACTCTTGGGCTTAAGTGATTCTCTTGCCTCAGCCTCCCTAGTAGCTAGGACTACAGGTGTTGGCTACAACACTTGGCTATTTTTTGTTTGTTTATTTAGCAGGCCTGGGCCAAGTTTGAACCCACTACCAGCCCCAGAATATGTGATCAGCACCCTAACCACTGAGCTATGGGCACCCCTCATTTTTCTATATTTAGTAGAGATAGGGTTTACCCTTACACAGGCTGGTCTCCAACTTTTGAGCTTATGTGATCTTCTTGCCTCAGCCTCCCAGAGTGCTAGGATTATAGGCATGAAGTACCATACTAGGCCTTTTTTTTTTTTCTGAGACAGAGCCTCAAGCTATCCCCCTTGGGTAGAGTACTGTGGCATCACAGCTCACAGCAACCTCCAACTTCTGGGCTCAAGTGAGTCTCCTGTCTCCGCCTCCCAAGCAGTTGGGACCACAGGCACCTGCCACAATGCCCGGCTATTTTTTTGGTTGCAGCCATCATTGTTGTTTGGTGGACCTAGGCTGGATTCGAACCCACCACCTTAGGTGTATGTGGCTGGAGCCTTAGCCATTTGAGCCACAGGCGCCGGAGCCACCATACTAGGCCTTAATCTTGTTGTTATTGTAACATAATGAATGTTAGACCTTTTAGAGTCTTAACGTTTTTGATTTGCCTTATCTGATAATTCCACTTCTAGGGATGTATCTTGTGAGAGAAAAAGCTTTACACTTGAAGCTCTTCACCACAGCATTATTTATATTATTAAAAAATTAAATGCATGGCTGGCGTCTGTAGTATAGTGGTTAGGATGCTGGCCACATACACCAGGAGTGATGGGTTCGAACCTGACTGGAGACTGCTAATCAAACAAACAACAACAACAACAATAAATAGCCGGTTGTTGTGGTAGGTGCCTGTAGTCCCAGCTATGAGGGAGGCTCAGGCAAGAGGATCACTTGAGCCCAAGGGTTTGAGGTTGCTATGAGCTATGATGCCATGGCACTGTACAGAGGGCAACAAAGTGAGACTTTGTCTCAAAAAAAAAAAAATTAAATTCAGTGTTAGTGTCTAACATTAAAGGAATGATAAATTATGATCTAGCTCCTTGATAAAATATGCAGCCATTGAAAAGTGTATCAAGTTTGTCAAGATTTTCATAATAAGGTTAAACAAAAAAAAGGAGGTTATAGGATTCTGTATTCATAATGATTGCAACTGTGGGGAAAGATACATATTAAAAATACTCAAAGGAATATGTGATCCTTAGTGTAATTTTGTCATCTGATTAAAATTGAATTTGTATAATTGCCCTTGTTTTTTTCCAGAACCAGATTGAGGCAGAACTGAATAAACATTGGCAGCGGTTGTTAGAGGGGCTCTCTTACTACAGACCTCCCAGGTATGGCTATTTAATGCATCTGGCTAGAGTAATTCCCCTGTGGAAGCAGGCATAGATGAAACCATTCTCACATATATTTTTGTGATATTGCTAGGTTAGGTAAATCATAGAGAATATAATTTGGTTACCAGTATAAAAGAATAGCGTACTTTTTTCCCGTTTATTGAAAGAAAGAGAAATTCCTTATAGAAATACACTATGTAGAATGAGATTATATATAACCCTAGGTGTGGGGATGAAGTTTTATTAAATATTCAGTGAGTATTTCTAATGTTTGTTTAGGGTCCACTGTGTTTGTGAACACTAAATGTTGAGATATAGCAGTGAACTTTGATAATAGCAGCTAACACTTGTCTTGTGTTTGCTGTGCACCAATTGTTATTCTAAGCACTTGGCTTAAGTTAATTATTCCTCACAAGAGCCCATTGGGTGAAGATACTGGTTTTCTTACTGGGCAGTGACAAACAACAATAATAAATACAAAATAGTTGAAAAAGAAGAAAATACAGCTCATAGGGCTAGACTTATTTATCTTAATTCTCAGTCCAGATCTTATTCTATGGCATATCATAATCCCAAGCCATCCTTATTTCTCTTATACTTCCATACATCTATTAAATCTGTTATGTTCTTACTTTCCATCTTCATTCTCCTAATTAATGATGAATTTTTTGTTTTAGTTGTTTCTGTACTAATCCTATTCTCCCCATAATTATTTTGAAGTAACTCCCAGACATCTTGTTATTTTATCTGTAAATACTTCACTAAGTATCTAAAGATATATGGACTTTAAAAAAGAAGATAATCACTATGTTAACACATTTAGGTACTCTTATCATTGTTTCCATTTTACAGATGGGGAAACTGATGCTCAAAGAGGTTAAGTAACTTGCCCAAGGTCACACAGCTAGTAAGTGGTAGAACCAGGATTCAAACCTGGCAGTCTTACTCCAGTGTCTGTGTTCTTAATCATCATTCTGTGTTGCCTTTTTCATAACTTACTGTTTATCCTTCCAGGGGTGGAGAACCTGCAGCTACAGGTTCCCTACCCCTATAACTAGCCTTTATGTTATGGATTTTCTGTGAATGTGAGAGTCTCTATTAAAAAAATACAACCACAACATCATGATGTAGGTCACAGAATGGACATTTGTGGCATTTAAAGAGAAAAATTCCCTTTGTAGTAGCATGGGATTTAACATCTTGACAGACTTTATCTTAAAAAAATAAAACAAAACTAAATTCTATACTTTCTTGGAATTCAATTAGTTTTTTCTTTAATGTCCTCTTTCTGTTTCAGGATCCCATCCAAAGTACCACACTGCACTTAATTGTCATATCTCTGTGTTCTCCTCTTACCTGTGACAGTATCTCAGTCTTTCCTTGATTTTTTTGACCTTCAGTAGTTTTAAGGAGGCCTGGTCAAGTATTTTGTAGAATAACCTCAATTTGGATTTGTCTGACGTTTTTCTTATTGTTAGACTGGTTTGTGAGGTTTGGGGAAGAATATACACGAGAGAAAGGTACCATTCTTATCATATCATACAGAGGTACAGGTTTACCCCCCCCCCCCGCCCTTTCTTAATCTATCCTTTGGAAGTGAGTACTAAGTATATAGCCCATTCTCCATTCTCCTTGTGTAGTGCTAATGGAATTAAACTCCCACTTCCTAGAGGCAGAGGTAGCATCTATGGGTATTATTTGGAATTCTTATGTAAGGAAGATTTTCCCCTCCTCTTCCATTTATTTATTTAGTCATTCATTCATTTATGTCAGTATGGACTCATGCATTTATCTTATACTTCGTTTATACTATGTTTCAGCTTTGGCCGCTGGAATTACTTGCAGGTTGGCTTCTGTGTCCTTTTGACATGTCCCCATCCTTTTGTTTTTTATTTAAGCACTATCTTCTATTTTATCTTGTATTTTCCCTGACCCCAACTCTAGAATTAGTCAATTCTCCAAGAAGTCCTGGTAGTTTTTATTAGAGAATGGTATTAGAAACCCAGATCTGGGTGCTGGCTGTGCTTATTGCTACTGGAGTGTTGTAATTTCTAGGACTTCACAGTGGACAGAGCTAGATAATATATGTATCAATACAAAAAACAGACCTGGTTTAAATTTTACCTCACCTTTTTATTAGCTGTGAGATTTTTGGTAAGTTATTTACTCTAAGTGTTGCTAATATTATTTGTAAAATAATATTAATATTTGCCTTTCATAGTAGTTTAAGGATCAGAAATAATTAATGAGGCTGGGCTCAGTGGCTCATGCCTGTATCCTAGCACTCTGAGAGGCTGAGGCAGGTGGATTGCCTGAGTTCAGGAGTTCAAGACCACCCTGAGCAAGAACAAGACCCATCTCTTAAAAAAAAATAGCCAGGTGTTGTGGTGGGCACCTGTAGTCCCAGCTACTCAGCAGGCTGAGGCAAGAGGATCACTAGAGACCAAGAGTTTGAGGTTGCTGTGAGCTATGACGCGATGGCACTTGGCTGAGGGCGACAAAGTGAGACTCTGTCTAAAAAACAATAATTAATGAATTTACAAATAATACTGTTACAACTATAGTTTTTAACAGACATATACTACTTTTTATTACTTAGGTATGACCAGTTCTTTGTTACAAAGTCTGTAGAGGTGAACTTGTATGTGTGTGTGTGTATTTTGTAGGCATATAAAGGCATGTAAGAAAAAATAGTTGTAGTAAAAATTTTCTTTGAATATTTTTATTTTATACCCATAGTTCTTGAGAATGAGGAAATGATTCACTATTCTTTTCATAGCCCAACTTCAGCTGAAAAAGTGAAAGCTAATAAAGATGTGGCTTCTCCACTGAAGGAACTGGGTTTAAGAATCAGCAAATTTTTGGTAAGTGAAAATTTAGGACTGGCTCAGTTTATTACTTGCAGTATGGATGTGCATAGTTTTGGGTTAGGGATAGTGAAAATTCAGTTGATTAAAGTTTCAGGGATTCAATTGAACATGCGGTGTTTCAGAAATACCCAAGTGTAGCTTTTTTCCCCTAAAAGTCACAAAGCAAAGTTGCCTGGTCACTTACCATAGAGTTTACTTCAGCATGCATGTGGTGGTCTTTAAGCTAAGTTTGTATTTATATATATAGCTGTTTCCTTTTAATTTCGGAAGCTCAGATGATGCCAACTGCTGTGCTAATGTGCTTGATAAATAAGCACAGTACTGTCCAGGTGTGGTACTTTACTCGTGTAATCCTAGCATTCTGGGAGGCTAAGGCAAGAGGATCCCTTAAGGTCAGGAGTTTGTGACCAGCCTCAGCAAGAGGGAGACCCCATCTCTACTAAAAATAAAAAAATTACCTGGGTGTTATGGTAGGTACCTATAGTCCTGGCTACTCAGGAGACTGAGGCAGGAGGATTTCTTAAACCCAGTTTGAGGCCTTGGCACTCTGGGTAACAGAGCTGGACTCTGTCTCAATGAAAAAAAAGCACAATTCTTTCTTGCATGTAAATTTAATTGTCATGCAAATCGCATGTAAGTGACTAGCCCTTTTTTTCTCCTTTTGGGATCAAAATTGCTGTGTTGTACGAAATCTTTAAAAAGGATTTTTATTACTCAAATCTTGTGTTCATTCCAGTGGACAACTTTAGAATGCTTTGTATCCTGGGCGGCGCCTGTGTTTCAAAAGAGTAGGGTGCTGGCCCCATATATCGGAGGTGGCAGGTTCAAACCCAGCCCTGGCTAAAAACTGCAAAAAAAAAAAAAAAAAAAAAAGAGAATGCTTTGTGTCCTATGTATGATATATGAGTTCTGGTGGCTGTTCCTCACTTAATACCTCTGTATTTCAGGGTCTTGATGAAGAACAGAGTGTGCAGTTACTCCAGTGTTACCTTCAAGAGGATTACAGGGGTACTCGAGACTCCCTGAAGGTTTGTTGTTTTTTCCAGATCCTTTCTGCTGCCTTTATCCTTTTTCATTGTTGGTTTTAGGTAACGTAGGGTTTGGCACAGTTCTTAGAAAAGAGGTACGTGATCAGATTCAACCAGTTCTTATAAAAGAGGTAGGTGATCAACCATTCTCAGGAAAGACTTTCTAAAGGCTTAAAAAAGAACATATACTTAAGCTGAGATCTGTCCTCATACTTGAAGGGTGAAGAAATCAAGATTGACATGTTAATCATAGAATATCACAACTGAGAAGGATTTGAGAGAATGTCCAGCCTGCCCAGCTCCTCATTTCATATAAGAGGAAATATGAGGCCAAAGGGAAAGAGGGAGTTGAGCACAGGTTTGGGTAAACTTAGATGAAAAATAAGGTGAGAAACATTTATAGGAACAAATGTGCAGTTATGTATAATCTTAGGATGGGGTGAAGATGTGTATCTTTTTCTTTGTTAATTGAGTTTGACCTATAAGATGGCTTTTTAACTACCCTGTTTTTCTTCAGACGGTACTACAAGATGAGAGACAGAGCCAGGCCTTAATCCTGAAGGTCAGTAGTAGTCACCATTCTATTTGTTGATGTAAAATTGGGTGACAGCTTCTTGATCTTATTTTTGTGAGTATTGCTGGATTTTAACTCTTCTGTAGGGTAAGCATTGAGGTATTAATGAAGAAGCATATTAACTTCTTTGTAAAACAAGAGGCTTTTATCTACTAGACCAAGCTGAAAAGTTATTCCAAGGAGATTCTTCAGCTACTTGTGGTGAGAACTATTTTTTCTCTAGGTCTAAATTCAACAGGGTTAATTTGTATTTCTTTATTCCTCAGCCTCGCTCCACCAACCTCTCACTTAGGGTCTCATTTCAAAATGGAATTTCATTGTGACTTCTGAAGATGTTTCCTATTTGATATTTAGTGAGAATGAAGTATAGTAGTTACAAGCAATGAGGACCTGTGTTGGTGTTTTTTGTTTATATGTGCTTGGCCTAATCATTTATAGCATTGTGTTTTACTTGAATGTTCTCAGAAATCATACTAGAAAACATTTTTGGAAATTTATTTATATCGGCTCGGTGCCTGTGGCTCAATCAGCTAGGGTGCCAGCCACGTACACCTAAGGTGGTGGGTTCAAATCCAGCCCGGGTCCGCCGAACAACAATGACGGCTGCAACCAAAAAATGGCTGGGCGTTGTGGCGGGCGCCTGTGGTCCCAGCTACTTGGGAGGCAGAGGCAGGAGACTCGCTCGAGCCCAGGAGTTGGAGGTTGCTGTGAGCTGTGATGCCACAGCACTCTACCCAGGGGGATAGCTTGAGGCTCTGTCTCACAAAAAAAAAAAAAAAAAGAAAGAAATTTATTTATATCATTAATAATTCTGTTGATCCTGTATGCCTTAACTTATATCCTGATTTATGAAGGTCTTTTGCTTTCTTTTGGGCTAATTTAATATATTTGCATTTCTATATTGCTTATTTACATAAATTGAATTTTTTCATTCACATTTTTATGTGATCTTATTTAAAATTGAGTATCTTTGGTACAAAAGTGAGCAACTGATTTTGAGTCTTTGGATTTTTCTCAGATTGCAGATTATTACTATGAAGAAAGAACCTGTATTCTTCGTTGTGTCTTACACCTTCTCACTTATTTCCAAGATGAAAGACACCCTTATAGAGTAAGCTTGTTTAGTTGCCATAGTTCTTTTTACCTTGTATCATCTAACCTTTTAAATAATTTTATTCATACTTGGGTGGTGCCTGTGGCTCAGTGAGTAGGGCACCGGCCCCATATACCGAAGTGGCAGGTTTGAACCCAGCCCCAGCCAAACTGCAACAAAAAAAAAGCCGAGCGTTGTGGTGGGCGCCTGTAGTCCCAGCTACTTGGAGGGCTGGGGCAAGAGAATCACCTGAGCCCAAGAAGTGGAGGTTGCTGTGAGCTGTGTGACACCACGGCACTCTACCAAGGGTGACAAAGTGGAACTCTGTCTCTAAAAAAAGTGATAATAATTTTATTCATGCTAATTCAAATGTTTACCTTTTATTCTAGGTGTAAGTTATTCTGTTTTGATTTTTTTAAGGTTGAATATGCAGACTGTGTTGACAAATTGGAGAAGGAACTAGTTTCAAAATATAGGCAGCAGTTTGAAGAGCTTTATAAAACTGAAGCACCAACATGGGAGACACATGGAAACCTCATGGTATGTGGTTATCGTGCTCTCTTATAGCTGTTGGGACAATGGTATACCTTTGCTCATAACTTTGTTCCAAGTTAAATTATTTATTTATTAATTTAAAACATGTATAGATTATCATTCTTCAGAAAAACTTAAATATGCCATTTAAATGAAAACATTGATGGCTTTAATTAGTGGTACTTAATTCTGACCTTTTCCCTTGACTTTATCTTGTCACTTTTACTTCTTACCTAAAATAATATCTGAGTGGTTAATGGAACTCTAAACCTAAGATTTCATCATCTTTATTACCATTTTCTCTTAAGTATGTGATAATAGTCTGATTATTTTATCCTAAAGCCTAAACTAATTTGCATTTATAGCATGACCTTTTTTCTAGTGTGATGGTCAGTGTGTTAATCACTACATTAGGTTGGGCATGGTGGCTCATGCATGTAATCCTAGCACTCTAGAAGGCTGAGGTGAGTTTGAGACCAGCCTGAGCTAGAGTGAGACCTCATTTCTAAAAATAGCTGGGCATTGTGGCGGGTTTCTGTAGTCCCAGCTACTTGGGAGGCTGAGGCAAGAGAATTGCTTGAGTCCAAGAATCTGAGGTTGCTGTGAGCTATAATGCCATGGCATTCTACCAAGGGCGACAAAGTGAGACTTTGTCTTAAAATTAAAAAAAAAGAAACAATCATTGCATTAAACTTTTTTTTCTTGTAGCTTTTGCTCCATTTTATTTCATTTTATTTTTTAGAATATTATAGGGGTACAAATGTACATAAATTGCGTTAGTGCAGTTTGAGTCCAAGTTATAAGTATGCCCATTACAGTTGTTTGTACTCTGAAACATTATTGGAGGGGTCTAAGCATCCTGTAACTTTGACAATGTATTCTTTCACAGTTTCAATGTCACTGAATGGCTTCCCTTTTTTCAAGTATATAAGCTACTTTGTAAATTGCTTCACTGGCATTACATCCAGGTCTTACTGCTACTTGAAAGAATTACCTTTTGCTTTTTTTTATCTTTTGATTTCTGCAGTACAACCATTCATGTCTCTTCTTTTAATTTAAAATATTTGTGGACCTTATGAGTGTTATAATGCTGATGAGCATTGAATTTCTTTTTTTTTTAGTTTTCAGCTGGGGCTGGGTTTGAACCTGCCACCTCCCGCATATGGGATCGGCACTCTACCCTTTTGAGCCACAGGTGCCACCCTGAATTTCTTTGATGTTGATATGGTAGCATCATAAAGCAAGCAAACCATCTTATCTTTAGCAGAAACAAGATAATACTGAAATTACCAGTCCTCATTACAAAATCAGCATTCTCTTGGTCTTCGACATGATGGGCTGTTCTGCAGGCAGAATTAAAAAATATTGTTGAACTGTGTAACTGTTCACAAATTCTACTTCAGATAGAAGTGTAATGCACCATTGTTAAAAGCTGATAACGTGGCTCGGCGCCTATAGCTCAACCGGCTAAGGCACCAGCCACGTACACCTAAGGTGGCGGGTTCGAATCCCCAGCCCGGACCTGCCAAACAACAATGACGGCTGCAACCAAAAAATAGCCGGGCATTGTGGCGGGTGCCTGTGGTCCCAGCTACTTGGGAGGGTGAGGCAAGAGACTCGCTTGAGCCCAGGAGTTGGAGGTTGTTGTGAGCTGTAATGCCAGGGCACTCTACCTAGGGGGACAGCTTGAGGCTCTGTCTAAAAAAAAAAAAAAAAAAAAAAAAAAGCTGATAACGGACTGGTGTACTTAACCCCCATAAACTCTTGCCAAAACCAGCCTCATGCAGTAGTGGTGCCAGTCAGGCAGGAGAATTTAGAACTAAATTATGAGTGTAGCAGCTATCAATTTAGTCCTTATGGCTTATTAATGTTCTAATTGTGCTGGTCAATCTGGGAGGATTATTTTGTTGAATCTTATTTTATTTTTTGGTATTTTAAATGTTCATTTTAAAAATAGAATAAAAATATAAAAGGCAAACAAAAAGGTATTGATAAAAATAAAAGGATTTGTTCTATAAAATTTGGGTTGAATTAAAAGGCCAAACTTAAGGGGCGGTGCCTGTGGTTCAGTGAGTATGGCGCCGGCCCCGTATACCGAAGGTGGCAGGTTTGAACCCGGCCCCAGCCAAACTACAACAACAACAAAAAATAGCTGGGAGCCAGCTCGCCCGCGTCTTGTCCTCTCTACTTCTGACATCATGTCCTTTACTACTCGTTCTACCACCTTCTCCAGCAATTACTGTTCCCTGGGCTTAGTCCAGGTGCCCAGCTACAGCATCCAGCCTGCCAGCAGCACAGCCAGCGTCTATGTAGGCACCAGGGGCTCAGGCTCCCAGATCTCCATGTCCCACTCTGCCAGCTTCCAGGGCAGCTGGGGGTCTGGGGGCCTCGCCATGGGGATGGCCGGGGGTCTGGCAGGAATAGGGGGCATTCAGACCAAGAAGGAGACCATGCAAGAACTGAACGACCTCCTGGCCTCTTACCTGGACAGAGTGAGGAACTTGGAGACCAATAATTGGAGGCTGGAGAGCAAAATCCAGGAACACCTGGAGAAGAAGGGGCCCCAGGTCAGAGACTGGGCGCATTACTTCAAGACCATTGAGGACCTGAGGGCTCAGATCTTTGCCAATTCTATGGACAATGCCCACATTGTTCTGCAGATTGACAGTGCCCGTCTTGATGCTGATGACTTTAGAGTCAAGTATGAGGCAGAACTGGCCATGCGCCCATCTGTGGAGAGCGACATCCATGGGCTCCGCAAGGTCATTGATACACCAATATCACTCGACTACAGCTGGAGTCAGAGATCGAGGCTCTCAAAGAGGACCTCCTCTCCATGAAGAAGAACCATGAGAAGGAAGTAAAAGTCCTACAAGCCCAGATTGCCAGCTCTGGGTTGACTGTGGAGGTAGATGCTCCCACATCCCAGGACCTGAGCAGGATCATGGCAGACTGAGGGCCTAGTATGATGAGCTGGCTCGGAAGAACCAAGAAGAGCTGGCCCGGAAGAACCAAGAAGAGCTGGCCAAGACCTGGTGCTAGCAGATTGAAGAGAGCACCTCAGTGGTCACCTCACAGTTTGCTGAGGTCAGAGCTGCTGAGACAATGCTCACAGAGCTGACACATACAGTCCGGTCCTTGGAGATCGAACTGGACTCAATGAGAAATCAGAAGTCCAGGTTAGAGGACAGCCTGAGGGAGGTGGAGGCCCACTACATCATGCAGATGGAGCAACTAAATGGGGTCCTACATCATTTGGAGTCAGAGCTGGCACAGACCCAGGCAAAGGGCCAGTGCCAGGCCCAGGAGTATGAGGCACTGCTAAACATCGAGGTCAAGTTAGAGGCTGAGATTGCCACCTACCGCCACCTGCTGGAAGACGGGGAGGACTTCAACCTTGGCAATGCCCTGGACAGCAGCAGCTCCATGCAAACCATCCAAAAGACCACCACCTGCAGGATAGTGGACGGCAAAGTGGTGTCTGAGACCAACAACACCAAAGTTCTGAGACAGTGAGGCAGTAGAGCAGCATGTCCTTATACCAATAAAGAGTTCAGTGGTCACTGGAAAACAACAATGAAAAAAATAGCTGGGCATTGTGGTCAGAGTCTGTGTATAAGCTACTTGGGAGGCTGAGGCAAGAGAATCACCTAAGCCCAAGAATTGGAGGTTGCTGTGAGCTGTGACGCTGTGGCACTCTACAGAGGGTGACAAAGTGAGACTAGCTATTAAAAAAAAAAAGGTCAAACTTAAGGACCTACAAGTACATAGGTACGCCACCCCTTGGGTTGGGACTACAGGTGTGTACCACTATGCCTCAGTGTGTTGCCCAGGCTGACCTTAAACACCTGCCCTTGAGTGGTTCTCCCACCTTTGCCTTTTTTTTTCTTTTGTTACATCTTTTTTGTTTGTTTGTTTGTTTTTTGGAGACAGAACTTCAAGCTGTCACCCTAGGTAGAGTGCTGTGGCATCGCAGTTCACAGCAACCTCCAACTCCTGGGCTTAAGTGATTCTCTTGCCTCAGCCTCCCAAGTAGCTGAGACTATAGGTGCCTGTCACAACGCCTGGCCATTTTTTGGTTGCAGTTGTCATTGTTGTTTGGCAGACCCAGGTTGGATTCGAACCTGCCAGCTCTGGTGTATGAGCCACAGGCACCGAGCCACTTTTGTTACATCTTTATTACATAAGCTTTTTTCTATTTTTAAATTTTTTAAATTTAATTTCCTTTTACCTTTTTTTTTTTTTTTTTGTGACACAGCCTCACTTTGTTTCCCTCAGCAGGGTGCCATGGCATCACCGTTCACAGCAACATCAAACTGTTGGGCTTAAGCGATTCTCTTGCCTCAGCCTCCCAAGTAGCTGGGACTACTGGTGCCCACCACAATGCCTGGCTATTTTTAGAGATGAGGTCTCGCTCTGGCTCAGGCTCACCTTTGCCTTTTTATTTTAGAATTAGGCAAACTGATTTAAAATTCATATGAATAATAAAAAAGAATAGCCAGAACACTTTTGAAAGAAAAATAAGTCTTACTTGGTAATATAGCTATAATAATTTAAACCATGGAATTGGCTCATGAATAAATAGACTGTTGAATAGTGCATAATAGAAAGTCTAGATACAGATCCAAATACTTGTAGGGAATTATTATATGATAAAAGTGCATTTCAAATCAGTGGGGAAACTTGGGATTATTTAATAAATGATGTTGGAACTACTGAGAAGCCATCTGGAGGAAAAATTAAGCTAAATCTCTACCTCATACTTGCAGCTTAAAGAAAATCATTGGATTAATGATTTGAATTACGAAAGAGGCTCGATATGGTGGCTCACATTATAGTCCCAGCACTTTGGGAGGCCCAGGGGGCGGGAACACTTGAGGTCAGGAGTTATAAGTACAGTGAGCTGTGATCTACAGCCTGGGCTACAGAGCAAGACTTTGTTTCTATCAAAAAAATAAATAGGCTTGGCGCCTATAGCTCAACAGGCTAAGGCGCCAGCCACGTACACCTAAGGTGGCGGGTTCGAATCCCCAGCCCGGACCCGCCAAACAATAATGACGGCTGCAACCAAAAAATAGCCGGGCGTTGTGGCGGGCGCCTGTGGTCCCAGCTACTTGGGAGGCGGAGGCAGGAGACTCGCTTGAGC